AAGCTCCATCAGAAAGATTGGTTAAATAGAGTACCAATACATGCTGAATAAACATTTCCCATCAGTTTAACAAATATTAAAGCAGGGACTTTAGCTGGTTGGCCAAGGATGAGATGGCGGAGTTACCCATCATCATGACTCATCTCCTCCTAAAGAGAGGACCTCTCCTCACTTAGGCAGATCTTCAGAGCCAATCTGAAAGACAACTGAAATTCAGACTTCAGTGGCCACAAATCCTTGTGAAGCATCTCCCTTTCCTGATAGCGCGAACAAATTTGGGACTCTGTTTTGTTTTGTTTTGTTTCTTAGGATGGCAAGGGATGGTTACAGCCTTCCCATATTTAATCTGCCCTTTGGAATATTTCTGGTAAGCAAAAAAAATAAAATAAAAATGTCTCTTAAGTGGGACGAAACATCATAAAACAATTATGGGGATTTGCAGGAAAGCAAAGCAACAACATACGATTGAAGGTCAGCCAGTTTGGGGTAAACGGTTAAGGCCCCAGACTAGAAACCAGGAGAATTAACTGGGTGACTTTGGGTCAATTTCTCTCTCTTTCTCAGTCCTAGGAAGCAGAAGTCAAGGGGATGGGGAGGAAAAAAAATATCACTTCTGAAAAAGCTTGCCAAGAAAACTTCAGAGATTAGTCCCGGAAGTCTCCAGAAGTCAACGCCGATGTGAAGGCATGCACGCAAGGCTTTGCACACATTCAAACAACAGGAGACATGTGTGTCGAGTTGCGCAATGCTAGAGGCCGCCTGGTAGATTCTGAATGGATTCTCTGTGTCCCCAAAGAGGAGTCTGCTTTTTCCAGTGTGGTCTTGCTATTTCTGAATATTATTTTTGTCCCTTGTTCTCAATCACATTTTTTTAAAAATTGATTTTTAACGGTTTTCCCGTATAGCCCTTACTGTCATCGGCGGCCTCCTTGCGTGACCACCATTTTCCAATCTGAAAATATTTGATGGGGGGGGGGGGAAATTCCTTCCTTCTTAGGAAAGGAAAGCATGGTGGAGCAGGGGGAAGCTGCAGACTATTGAGGAAGAGAGCGAATGACTTGTTCATCTCGTTTTGTAATAAAAAGAGGTAGGAACTCTAGAAAAAAAACCTGCAGAGAAGAGGAAACTAAGATGATCAGGGGACTGGAGGCTAAAACATTTAAAGAACGGTTGCTGGAATTGGGTGTGTCTAGTTTAATGAAAAGAAGGACTAAGGAGGATATGATAGCAGCCTTCCAGTATCTCAGGGGCTGCCCCAAAGAATAGGGAGTCAAGCTATTCTCCAAAGCACCAGAAGGCAGGACAAGAAAGAATGGATGGAAACTAACCAAGGAGAGAACCAACCCAGAATTAAACAGGAATTTCCTGACAGTGAGAACAATTAATCAGTGGAGTAACTTCCCTCCAGAAGTTATGGGTGCTCCAACACTGGACGTTTTTAAGAAGAGATTAGACAGCCAGATAGATAGATGATAGATAGATAGATAGATAGATAGATAGATAGATAGATAGATAGATAGATAGATGATAGATAGATGATAGATAGATAGATAGATAGATAGATAGATGATAGATAGATGATAGATAGATAGATAGATAGATAGATAGATAGATAGATAGATAGATAGATAGATAGATAGATAGATAGATAGATAGATAGATAGATATGGTCTAGGGTCTCCTGCTTGAGCAGAGGATTGGACTAGAAGATCTCCAAGGTCCCTTCCAACTGTTATTCTGTAATTCTATAATCTCAGATCAATTAACGACTGGAACAGCTTTCCAGAGGTTGTGGGTGCTTCATCACTTTTTAAAGAAGATATTGGACAATTGAGATTTGTCTGAAAGGGTATAAGGTCTCCTGCTTGAGCAGGGGGTTGGACTAGAAGACCTAAAAGGTCCCTCCCAACTCTGTTGTTTGTTATTCTGTTCCATTACACCATGCCTAGTTCTATTACTCAACAAGCTCTCTCTTTTTTTTTTTGCCGCTACATCACACTGAATCATACCCTCACCAACCACGCCGGGTTTACACACACTAAGGTAAACCACAGACCGACTGACCAGGGTTAAACAACTTTAGCCGAAGCCGCTACGGTTTCCATTGAGCTGGCTAAGCCGTCCACAAAACGCCAGAATTTTCCTTTGTTTGTTTGTTTTGTTCCGGGTAGGAAATACATTTGGAAAGCAAATTCTGTTTCAACAGATGCCGTAGGAGTTGGTGGGCCAAAAAAAGAAAGAAAGAATTTTGCTAGACCTTACGAGCATCACACTTTTTGACAGACGCATCCCTCCTTAACTTTAAATAAATAAGAAAAGAAAAAATAACGACAACGACAAAATCCCCCCTGTGAAAAGCAACCACCGCCCCTTCTTTATTTTTAGGACATCACTAATTTCTCTATAACGGCAAATCTAGACAGCCTACTAAAAAGCAGAGACATCATCCTGCCAACAGAAGTGCGTATAGTCAAGGCCATGGTTTTCCCAGTTGCAATGTATGGCTGTGAAAGTTGGACCATAAGAAAGGCTGAGTGCCAAAGAATGGAGGCCTCTGAACTCTGGTGGCTGGAGAAGACTCCCGCGAGTCCCCTGGACTGCAAGGCGACCAAACCGGTCAGTCCTAGAGGAGATCAACCCTGACTGCTCTTTAGAAGGCCAGATCCTGAAGTTGAAACTCAAGTCCTTTGGCCACCTAATGAGAAGGAAGGACTCACTGGAGAAGAGCCTGATGCTGGGAAAGATGGAGGGCAAGAGAAGAAGGGGATGACAGAGAAGGAGGTGGCTGGATGGAGTCACTGAAGCAGCAGGCGTGAGCTTCAATGGACTCCAGAAGATGGCGGAGGACAGGAAGGCCTGGAGGAACGTTGTCCATGGGGTCGCGATGGGTCGGACACGACTTCCCAACTAACAACAACAACTCTTAAGGCCCCAAAGGTGCTTTTTCAAAAGGCAACCGGGCTTTGTTTTTCCTTGAAGACGTTTCACTTCTCATCCAGGAAGCTTCTTCAGTTCTGACCGATGCGATGCGAGGCAAGAAAAAAAACGCTTTGTACTTACTCCTGGACAATCCCATCACCGCAGTAGCCTTTTCCGTGCGTGTAGGACAAGGTGGGAGACAGCTCGCTTTCTTTTTGCTCAGAAAGAACAGAAACCCAATAACGGTACGCCGTGCCATCCTTCAGCTCGCTGCAAGTGAAGGAAAAGAAAAAAGGAAAAAGAAAAGAAAAGTCAGATGGAACCTGGGCGTGATGTCCACTTCCTTGGAAAACCATTTTTGCAAGATGTAGCAACCACTGTGTTTATGTATCCCTGGGGTCTTTGGGGCTTGCAGATGTGTCTTTAGCCAACTAGGGGACATTGTCAGTGCTAGAATGGAGTGGAGAAGGAGAAGGAGAAGGAGAAGGAGAAGGAGAAGGAGAAGGAGAAGGAGAAGGAGA